CTGCTCGTCTTGTTACATGAAATAAGGCATTTTGTAGCTGGTTATATAGTTATTTTGTAACTGCATATCTAACCCTTTTATTTTTTTCAGGAGGTTGTAAACATGTGGCTTCATAGAAGAAGTGAGGAACCATCTGTAACATCTACTCAGTGTTATTGATAATGATGTACACTTGGCTAGATTGTTAAAGAAACCTCTTCATCCACTAAAGGAAAATAAATCAGTACTTTTATATTCTTAGGATTTGTATATATTTTTTATTTGTAAATAAATTGTTTTTTACTTCATTTTTCTCATTTTTTATTAAAAGGTTAATAAATAAAATTTTCACAGATTTTTATATTTTTGTTTGTAAACAATAATTGAAGTTTTTATTAAAAATCACCAATGTTAATAATAATAACTTAAGTCAATATTATTCTTTCTCCTTTTTTAAAGCTACTATTAATAAAGGTATTACTTTAGCTTGACCTATGATCAATTTTTAATTTTGTGATATATTTGGTTTGACAGAAAAAAAATTAAAACCCTTTGACATTGGTTGTTTTTACTTAGATTTTCATAAAAAATAAACGGAACTGCAAACATGTTTTACTATCGTAATAACGAATAGCAACATGAAATTTTTTTTTCACATTTATCACTGTTGTCATTTTCATAAGAAGGCACACTTTCTGGTTTTTTGAAAAAGGTGGCAAGAACTGTGATATTTTTAAATTTATCACCAGTGATACCACATGTAGTTACCCGATTTATTGGAATATATAGACTTTGCTACCACATTCAACTGAACTTGGTTTTTAATATTTATCACTGTGACATAGGCGTTTTGTTAAAATGTTTCATTTTAAACTGCTGTAAATAGGTGCCTTTGTTTTGGTAGTTTCAGTCCCAAAAAAATCTATGCATATACAGGTACTCATTCCTCTTCAATTTGCTCGAAAAGTTAAATTTTTATCAAAAATTACATTGGCTGTTTAAAAACTCATTATAATCCCTGAAATGTGATAATTAGGTAAATTAAATTAAAAAACAAAAAAGTTTATTAAATTAATATTTACTCTTACAAAATAGGTTCTTGTAAGTTAACAAGCAATTATGCAGATATTACTAAGTAAATGTACTTGCTTAAAATTCACACACGAATGTGGTTTTAACATGTTAAATTAACTAACCCTTCTTATAACTCTTTCCACATGTATTCTTAGAGATGCTATTCTTTTACTTAATTGTACATCTTCTTGAGAAGTTTTTTCATTCTGTGATACACTAGGTGTGGCTTTACTAAAGTGTATCCCATGTTTTCAAGTAGCTGATTATTCTGAAACCCCTATCTGCCATTATATGGGATCCAGGAACCAGTTTGTTTAAATACCCACATTTTTCCATTATTTCTTTATCACTAGTTCTTCCACAAAATGATGAATAAATTCGGTATCTTCAAAACTTTCAGGAGATTCTGCATTTTCTTCCAGAAGGGTTTTTAGGTTATACACCTAAGAATTTATAGTATCCTTATTTTCAATTTCCTGAAGGGGACAATTAGCAGAAATTGCTGCTACATCTTGATAATCCGGTGTATTTTTATTAAAAAGTTCACGAGAAACATCGCTAGTAGAAGGTTGATTTTCTTCTTTCCAAATTTCTAGGAACACTAATAAATATTTTTGAAGATGAATGTGAATCATTATCACATTCTGGAACAAAACACTTTTTCGTAGTCATAATATTTATAAAAAGTACAAAATTAAACAATCAAATTCCAAATAAATTCTTGATGGAGACACTATGATGACAGATGCCATACACAGTGCTGCCATTTTGCCATTTTCTGAATTATTAAGTGACTTTTAAAACAATGAAACCTTAAATATGGTAAAAGTTTAAACAGAAATAATACTTTAAAAAAACATTTGATATTATATATTTAAAAGATATTTGTTTAACGATGTTTTAGAAGTCTAAAAGTAAGAAGGAGTACACAAACGAACGTACATCACTTCTCGTAAACCTTCTAGCCGGCAACGTTGTGCGCTAGCTCCTATTGGTCTATTCCCGGTGACGTCATAAATTTTAAAAAAATTCATAACTCCGGCAAATGAATAGATAAAAAAAAAATAAAAAAAATGTAATTTTATTTTCAACTCTATTATTCATAAAAAAAATTTCAAAATTTTTGAACATGCCCCATTGTATTAAAGAATTAAAAACATTGGCAAACCAACATAGATTAAAGATTAAAGCTTGTTTAGGTGACAGGTCATAAAAGCATCGAAGGTAATGTAAAGGTAGATCAAATTGCATGGAGAGAGTCAGGAGATATACCGGAACCACATATTAACAACCTCTGAGAACCAAGTCATAAATGACTTGGTTCTAAGAAAACACAACCACTAATGGGGAACATCCTAAGAACAAGCACATGGGAAAAACAGAACAGAACAGAACTACTTTCTAAGAATAGGAACCAGTTCAAAACAAAAACAGTACCTACTCATGGCTGGGCATGCGCTTGTAAAGGGGCACCTGAACAAAGTGGGTGTATTATAATTTAGACCAATTGTATTCACATTGTATCGCAAAAGACAGATTAATCCAAGAATCTATACAACACATCCTCTTAAGGATTTGTACGAACTTATACAAGGGATTAAGGGGATAGAGTGAGTACTATAAATTAATATGGGTTAAATACAATAAGTAATTAGGTTTCAGTCTTAAGTGACTCCTTATATGAAGTATTTTCAAACAGTAATTCATTTATTTTAATAACAAATAAGGGAAATAGGTAAATAATTATTAAATATTATACTTTTTGTAATAAAGAGGCGGATGGTCAGAATATTCACATGCAACCTAATTACTATTTATTGGTTTTTATGTTTTCAAAATAACAGATGTGGTATTACTTTTTCATACCAAATATTAGACTAAAATGAATTGAATATTTATAAAATTGTGTTCAAATATTGGATTTATTAATGACAAATTACGTTGCATTTAATTTGCTATCCCTACGATAATAATGATAAACAATTTTGATAAACGTACTAAACGAATAGGTAAATATTTCTTATAAATAATTCCATTGGCATTATTCTAATTGATGTTGGCTAACTAAAATCGTATGCAGTTAATTAGTTTATAGAGAGCTTCACCAAAGTTTACAAATGGCTGGCGATAAATTCCAGTAAATATTGATTTATTAATTTGCTTTTAACCTCTTTTGGAGTTTACGCTGACAGCAATTTAAATATTCATCAGCAAAATTGCAGTAGCATTTAAGATAATTAGCGTTTAATTAAAAAAATAAAGTTAGTAAAGAATAACTATGTCGTAACTAAATGGAACATAATCTAATTGGAAATTAAAGTATAAATATACAAAAGAAAACTTCTTAAAACTTAGATTTCCTTAGTTTCTTAATATATTCTGGATAAATTGTGAAATCCCAATAGGATAGTGAAGTAATTTTGCTTCTTATGAACGTAGATCATACCGACGAAGTGGAATTATTAAAGGGTTTGCTAATAAAAGAAATCTTAGTTACGCCACTGGTACACTGTAAATGCCCAAGTAACAATTTTATACTTTATAAAAGTTGAAAAAATGTTTACATAACAAAATTTATAAAACAGAATATAAGCTAACATTTCCGGAACATTCTTTCAACAGTAATAAACACAAAATGGGCACAGTATTACAGAACTATTTAGTTCATTTGTAAATTGTATAAGATTTGTTGAATGCCGTTACCGCTGCACATTTACACAGACTTTAAACAAATATTTTTTTAAACTTTTATAACTGTTTTATAAATTTTCAAATTTGAGGTTATGTTGCATATCAAAATCAGTAACATTTTAGTTTTTTAAATGTATCTGGTGAAAGCAAATTAATTCTAGATTTGTAATAAAAGGTAAATTCAAGGCGATAATAGTAAAATGGCAGTATTTATCTAAGAGATATCTATAACGCAAGCAAGTATTTTTTGAGAATATCGCCATCTATCGCCAACTTAGTTAATTAATAATTTTTGTTATGCATAATATGGTGTGCAAATTCCGTCTTAATGAATCATGCAGGTGCAGATATTATGGAAGTCTTCTGAGATAGCAGAAGGATACGTAGAATATTGCCTTCAATTTCCAATTTTTCTACCATACGACTATTAGTTTTTCTTCTACAAACTATTCTGACATATTCTACAGAAAATATTTGCAATGTGCCAGTTTTTAATATAAGTAATAATGGTACAAATACTATAATTATTAATACAGATTAATAAAAATAACTCTTGTTTAATTCATTAAAACAATAATTAACTTGTTTCGTTTGAGTTTTATTTTATTTTCTAGGCTAGCACAATAAGGATAGTGAGCGGGCTGCATTGTATTTAAGTATAATTAAGTAAAGTTATGGCTACTTTTATATGAACCCCAGTGTGCGCTATTCTTAGAAAATATTGTGTTAAAAAATTATATAGAGTGAACTCCGGATTTATAATAAAATAATTTCGATATACTTGGTCGATCCAGTTTAGCTAAAAACCCAATTTTTATTCAAACTCCGGACTTTCATGTGTTCTTATATGGTTATTTTAGGAGTTCCAATCATTTCTATTGGCCTGTTATAAATATTTTTGTTTTTAATTGATATACAGCCGCTTACCATCTTTAATATGACACCCTGTATTCAATTCATATTTTGTGGTCGTGGAGAATGTAGAGTCTGTTATGCTATTGGAATGAAAATTCTATACCTACTAATTAATTCTGTTTGTCTTCTGAATTTTTTACTCTTATCGAATTTTCATTCCAACCTTGTTACAGAAATATTATTATTATCATCCTAATTTAATGTCCATTACAGCAACATAATTATTTCCAGTACTTGCTTAAAAATCGGTTGAATTCCCGCACTTTTTTGTTTTTGAAGATCTGTATTGCTGCAGTTAAGTTGATTTTAACTTTAATACTTAACTGTAATTTTCTTTCCAGGAATCGAGTCCTCTAGAGGTCCACTTGGCCGCTACGGGCCGCGAACTCGTCCAAGCTATACGAGGCCTCCTCCTGCAGGCCCACTGGCACACTTTCACCCTCTTGGCGGCCGACCAGGCAGCGGCGACGGCCTTGCGCCGCCCCGAACTTTGGCAGACGCTTGATTCGACGCCCCTGCATCCGACGCTGGTCGCCTTACCGTCGCCGATCAGACCTCAGACGCTTTTCAGGTTTGTACCCGAACGGGATTTGGAATTTAACCGTTTTAGAATATTTACATTGTTACATTATTGACGATGCTGTGGTAACGACACCCGGCGGGTTGGTTAGACCAAACAGTTTTATTTATTTACGGGTCAGATCCCGTTAAAACATAAAATAATATAAAACAATTAATTTAAAAAGATATAGTAATAAATTGCATGTCATTTAATGAGGGGTAATATTTTAATAATCACCAGATGGCGTTCCTGTAACGTGAGGTCTATGGAACGACTTGTTAAAAAACTTTGTTTATTTTAAAATGTTAATAATCTTATTAAACTTCATTTTATTCGAAAAATAGATAGTTCTTAACCCTTTAACGGGCAAAATTTTTCTAAAACTATTTTATATAAAAAATGCTAATTATGGAGTATTCTGGTAACAATAAAAGATAATATGTAACTATATCTATCGACTTTTTGATTTGCTTTTGTATTATTAGGCTGTAAACCATTTTACCAGGAATCATTTAGGACATAATATGTGGGTAGTGTTATTTGGTACAAATCCAATACCATCTCCTCAAATATTGGAATTATAATATAGGAATTGCTGCAAAATTAAAACAAAAAAACACATTAAATTTTAAACAGCTTTATAATAAAAGCGAAACATACAATAAAAAAAGAAAAATAAAAACAAACATGAAAAAGCAACATGTTACAAATAGTCCAGGGCATTTAGCAAAAATAGCGGAAATTTTGACATACCACAGATATCGAGATGCGGTTTTCTGCATTGTGTTGGGGAAGGTCCCAGAAAAAACTGGTGAAAATCTGGGTATGCAGCTTTTTGAAAAACGCCTTTTGTGCCGGAAAATGCATTTTCCAATTGCATCATTATTTGTGCCGTTATGGGAGTGATTGTAAACGCGGAAAAATCGCTCGGAAATTGTTACTCGGGGGTTTTCGGGGCTGCCGAACTCGATTTTGGCATTAGAATTACCCGCGAATGCACGGGGGCGGATCTGTGGGGGTGCGCGTGGGGTGAATTGGGGGAGGAATGGCAGCGTGCATAAAAATCGCTCCAAACTCGTGACTCGGGGGTTTTCGGGGATTCTGAATTCAATTCTGGCACTGGAATTACTCGGGAGCGCTCAGGGGCGCCTCTGTAGGGGGTCCGGGGGTTCATTCTGGGGAGGGGGGGTGATAGCATAGTCCATGTAAATGGCTCCGAAATCGCTTTTCGGGATGCTGAATTCAATTCTGGCATTGGAATATCCGGGGCGCTCAGGGGTGGCTAGGAAATGGTAAATCAGCAAGTGGAAAATTCAAATTATCAACATAACTCTTTATTCAAATAACAAATAGAAGTTTTTATTAGTCTTGAATTATTCATTATAAACTCAAATTTTCAACTTAAGACCTAAACATCTTGTTCAAACTCTTCTTCTTCTTCTTCTTCCCGTTCTTCTCCTTCTTCCTTTTCGTAATTTTCTTCCCCTCCTTCATCTTCTTCCTCGTCACTACTCTCGGCCTCATTGGCAACGTCTTTTTGGTTTGAGCAATTGCCATCGCAATGCTTGCATGCAAGAGAGCACTCCAACCCATTTCGGCGACACCCGCACCTCGGGCCACAATCCGTTTGACAAGAACAAGAAATTTTGCTCAAAATTTCCTCGGGACCGGCTTCCTGGGTCATGGTGACAGGACTGAGCTCTCCACCCACCATTTCCCAGCCCCATTCTACCGGATTTAAGGTCTCGACTTGAGCTTGTGAACCATACCAAGCCTGTACTTGGAAATAGACCCGCTTGATATGCTCGGTTAATGCATTGGCAGTCGGAATTATGCGTGCAAGGTCGACTTTTTGAAGGTCGGCGGCTGCAGTATACGATTTTGCTCGATACTTTTGGACGAGCTGAATGGCAGGTTCATCTTTGGTGCACAGATCTTTGGGTGCCCCGTAAAGAGCCAAAGCGAGACGAAGCCCGTGATCTATTAAAGTATCCATGGCTACATGTGTTTGCTTAAATATTTCGAAAACCCCACGTGGTCCAAGAGTGCCAGACACCACTCAAACACCAAAAAAAGGTCCAAAATTCAAGAAACTTAAGTACTGTAGCACTGTATTTACATACAACGAAAAGGAAACGTGGTCCTAAGCGACAGATTTAATACTGATGCCACACCAGCCACACACACGCCAACTCCACGTGGGAACTGGACCCATATATGTTCTGTGAGTCGATATAGAATATTTCTGTCCGCGCCGGTCCCATGGTAACGATACTGTACTCCCTTTATAGCTTTGGCGCCTTTCTCAAATCCAGTTTCAAGGCACAAAAGACTCCCAAAGCAATTGTTTTTATATGTGTAATATTTGATTATTTAATATTTCAATGGAAATTTTCATTATTCATACCTTCGGATAATTGCAATGTCAGAATTTAATTCAGAATGCTCGAAACCCTCTGAGTAACGAGTTTGGAGCGAGTTTCATGCACGCTGCCATTCCTGTCCTAATTCGCGCACCCCCACACGGCCACCCCTGAGCGCCCCGGATATTCCAATGCCAGAATTGAATTCAGCATCCCCGAAAACCCCCCGAGTAACGATTTTGGAGCCATTTACATGGACTATGCGATTTCCCCCCAGAATGAACCCCTGGACACCCCTGCAGAGGCGCCCCTGAGCGCCCCCGGGTAATTCCAATGCCAGAATTGAATTTAGCATCCCCGAAAACCCCCGAGTAACGATTTTGGAGCCATTTACATGGACTATGCGATTTCCCCCCCGGAATGAAACCCCGGATACCCCTGCAGAGGCGCTCCTGAGCGCCCCCGGGTAATTCCAATGCCAGAATTGAATTCAGCATCCCCGAAAACCCCCGAGTAACGATTTTGGAGCCATTTACATGGACTATGCGATTTCCCCCCGGAATGAACCCCCGGACACCCCTGCAGAGGCGCCCCTGAGCGCCCCGGGTAATTCCAATGCCAGAATTGAATTCAGCATCCCCAAAAACCCCCGAGTACCGAGTTTGGAGCGATTCTCATGCACGCTGCCATTCCTCCCCCAATTCACCCCACGCGCACCCCCACAGATCCGCCCCCGTGCATTCGCGGGTAATTCTAATGCCAGAATCGAGTTCGGCAGCCCCGAAAACCCCCGAGTAACAATTTCCGAGCGATTTTTCCGCGTTTACAATCGCTCCCATAACGGCACAAATAATGATGCAATTGGAAAATGCATTTTCTGGCCCAGAAGGCGTTTTTCAAAAAACTGCCTACCCACATTTTCACCAGTCTTTTCTGGGACCTTCCCCAACACAATGCAGGAAACCGCATCTCGATATCTGTGGTATGTCAAAATTTCCGCTATTCGGGTGATTTAGTGCTAAATGCCCTGGACTAAAAACTAATAATGAATTATTATGGTAGAGACCAAAGTATTCTATACTTAAAGCTACTTGCCACTCATTGCACATATAATTACTCCTTTTCTGGAAACCCCATTTACTGCACTCCTGACATCTTCTTTTTGTGGTTTCCAGTTTCCAGTAGAAAATGTGAAATATTTTCAAAATTATTTCATGTTGTTAGTGGTCCAGATCTTTTTATAGTTGATGCCCGATCAGTTTGTATGCTAGAAGAGTTTTAAACTTTAGATGACTCATTGGTTTTTTCTTGGATTGTTATTTTTAAGGGTTTCTTCGTACAATGTATATGCATTAACGATGCTGGAATCAATAAAGTAATACAGGACTTTCATCCACTACCTCATACTTTTCCAACTTAGATTGTACATTGTATGTCTTTGATCAAAGCAATCGACGCCTCCCATAAATTTATTGTAATCAACGATAGACCTAGGGCACACTACAGCATCTCTTTCGTCAAATTTATTTGTACGAAGGACTTGTCCAGTTTCTGCGGCATAATGCATATTACTGGCCACCGTTACAGACTTAGTTCCTCTGTCCTTCCACTTGACAATAGATATTTCTCCACAAACTGCAAAATCTGACTGTCCCATTGCAATTTTTTTATCGTCAAGCAATTTTTCTTTTAGAAAATGTTTTCTAGTTTGGCGAATAGTTCCACATCCAAATAGTGATTTGTCTGCTAATTTTTTCATAAGTGGAATGGTGGTGAAAAAAATATCAAAATAGGCACAGAAACCCTTGTTTTGCAAATTAGCTAGCAATTTTAAAACTACTCGCTCTCCCAGTGTGTCATACTTAGCATCCTGCTCTTTTTCTTGATATATATCGAATGCATAAGTATCTGGTCTCAGAACATGCCAAAGCCCACACCTTGATTCCCCTTTTTATGGGTTTCATCGGCATGTATTGTTTTAGGCCAGTACGGCCCTTGAAACTAATTATACTCTCATCAATGGCAACGTTTCTATCAGATGTAAAAGAATTAGAATAAACTTCAGATGGACGAATTTTGTAGAGTTTTACATAGTGAAGCATTCCTGGGGCAGGCATCGTCTGGTTATTGTTTAGATATACGGAGTATTTTTAAAAATCTTTTGATGGGAAAAACTTTTGTTATTCTTTCATTGTTAAAAAATTGCGATCATGTGACCAGTATAGTCTCAATGAAGGCAGCTTATTGAGTCCCTCCTAAAAAAGCCTTCAATTATTCTACGGTAAGTTGTAAGTTTATATTTTTTTTTTGTTTTGCGTAGAGGTTCGATTGTTGAACAAAATTTTCTAAAAAATCTTGAGGAAACATTATTTTAAAAAAAATCACAGGGGTTTTGAGAATTGACCTGTACCCTAGTACCCGTCTCTCCCGAAAAATTGAAATTTATATATCTTGTAGGGGACACAGCAGTCTTTGTCCAGGTGGAAAACTCAGCAACTGGTTCCTCTACTTCATTCAGTTCTTCATCACTATCAGAAGATACTATCTTATTTTGTAAGGGGATTGGAGAATCAGGCGTATATGTTTTATCGGCAGTTGAATCATAATCCGAAAAATCAATTGGAAGGGAAAGTTTCACCCTTTCTCCTTTTGATCCTTTGGAATTGTCTGATAGACTCGGGGTTGCTGATAAAGATCTATCTGAAGACAATAAACCACTTGAGGAGGGTGTATCGTTGAACTTGTCCGCATCAGAATCCCCCCCGATATCAGAATTTTCTGCTTGATTCTCAGGTATATCAGCAACCTGAATCAACTCCTCTTCAGTGAGTCGTTTCTTCCATACCATTTGTTCCCAAATCGGGGTACATCCATTATCCTATAAATAAAGAGGAGTTGGTATTTTTATACTGGGATAGATTTTTTGAACTTTAATTGTTTATTGTAATTATTGCCCCTATGGTCCTGAATACGGCCCTGAACTTTTTCTAATTATCAAATATTGAAAATTGAATTGATAAAATCAAAAATTAATCAAAAAAATATAATAACTTTCGTGCAATTTATGATTTTTTATTTACCACAAAACAAAATTTTGGTACAATCTATATACATTCAAAGGGAAATATTGCAAAATTTTCCTAGCGCAAAAAAAGTGGGTTAAAACTTTATGGTTATTTTATTGAGATAGGTATATAAAGCATGTGTCAAAATATGAAGCTTGAACTAGCCTAGAACTAAAAAAAAAAAATTCAAAATTTATACAAAATTCACAAAATAAATATCAGCTCGTAAATAAGTATACTTTTTTTACTAAAAATCTGAGTACGACACTAGAAATTTGAGGTTATAGTTATTCAGTATGAATATATAGATAACACTTACTTATTTATTTTGTCAATATGCCTTCTGAATTATAAATATAAACAAAAATTAAATTGAAAACACATAAAACTAGAAAATTAATGCTCCTCAAGTGTCACTGGTATGAGTGGTGTACCACTTTTTAAAATACAACCGCACCCGGACAAATCTTGTAAGCAACTGATATCATAGAGCAACACATATTAAATCACAATGTTTTTGAGATGTATAGTAACCCCACTTCAAGGTTAAAATAACCAGTAAACTTGGTGATACTAGATTTACATCAAAGAAATTTAAAGGGTTAAGCATGTTCAGTTACTTTGACGAGAAAAAGTTGCCTTGTCCAGATACCGATATCTGCCACATAAGCCTATTTTAATTCCGAATTTTTCATTCTAAGAAACTCCTTTCTTCTTAGTAATAAAGATGCGAAAGCAATGTTTTTTTTCTTCTGAAAAATAGGGCAAAAAGTATAATACTCTTTATAGAAAAGTAGCCTTGCATTCGAGTTTTTTAAAATGTTTATTCCACGTCCACCTTTAGTTAAATATGACACCGGAAGTATTTGACTTTTGTAACAAATGTAATAACCACAATATTCACTATGTTTAGAATTTTGGTATTTTGGTACTATATAAGATGACCACATGTGAGGATGTGAATAATCTTCCACAGTTTCTTGTAAATGCTTCTCAAACGAAGTAAGTGTCACTTGCCTTAGGTTTCTATCACACGTACACTGTGGCGCCATCTTTAACGATTACATAATCAGTTACCTTGATAAAAATTGTTTATATCCGTTCCTTTTTACATTACAAAGGACCCCGCAATAATCTTATGGAAATTGGTTTTCTGTCAAATTGTCTGAATTTTTGATGTTATAGATTTTATCATCCTGAACAAAAGTCTTCATAGGCACAAAGTGCCAAAATGAATATTTTGGCAGCTGCGGAGCTGCCAAAGCTCTCCGACCCGTTGCAAAACTATTCATTTTCAATACTCTTTACAGATGTCAAAAGCATATTTTAATTATTCTAATATATTGGGTAATGTTTTTGAGGTCACTGGATTCAACCCTCATGTCAGATTGGACAAATTGGCCGTTGACAGCTGTCAATTCACTGTCTACGACGAATATTAAAGTAAATATCCTCTTTACACAATGAAAGTTTGGGTTTTTGGTCGCTGAATTCAATTCTCATGTCAGATTGGACAAATTGACAGTCAATTTTGCCAATCTGGCATGAGAATTGAATTAAGCGACCTCAAGAACCCAAACTCTCAATGCCAACAGATAATATTTACTTTTCTATTCTTCGTTGACAGTGAGTTGACAGCTGTCAACTGTCAATTTTTCCAATCTGAGATTAGAATTGAATTCAGCTCCCATAAAAGCCCAAACTCTCAATGTCAACAGAGAATATTTACTTTTCTCTCCTTCGTTGACAGTGCATTGACAGCTGTCAACGGTCAACCAATCTGACATGAGGGTTGAATCCAGTGACCTCAAAAACATTACCCTATATATTAGAATAATTAAAATATGCTTTTGACATATGTAAATAGTATTAAAAATGAATAGTTTTGTAACGGGTCAGAGGAGCTTTGGCAGCTTCGTAGCTGCCAAAATATTCATTTTGGCACTTTGTGCCCATGAAGACTTTTGTTCAGGATGACAATATCTAAAACATATCAAAAATTCAGACAATTTGACAGAAACCCAATTTCCATAAGGCTATTGCGGGGTCCTTTCATTAATTTAAGTATAATCGTTGAAAATATACAGGTGGAAGCAAACTTTTGACTAGCACTGTATATAAAAATTCTATCTTAAAATAAATCACATTTAAATGAAATATGTATTTATAGTGGGCATGATCTAATAAATGTTTCTGGTCGTCTACATTTTCAATTATTCGACCCATGTCACATCATTTAATAATATTATCCAGAGGTGACAATACCTGAATTGCTACCAATGGTTCTCTTAACTCCAAGTGCAACAACAGTTTTTTGTACGCTTTCCTAAATTGTTTTGAGGTAGAATTATTATTATAGACTTTCTTTACAAATTAGAATCTAACTGTATCCATTTTTCTGCCACTAACACATAACAGTTCGCCATGGATTAATCTAAGGATAATAAATATACCGAAATACCTTCCCAAAAATGAGTAATTTTTAAAAAAATTAATTTATTTATGGGTTTCATAAAATGTACTTGTGTCCCCTATGTCAAAAGTTTAATTTGTCAAATAAACATTTCCAATAAATTTTATCATTTCCTCTAATTGCTCAAATTGTTTTAATTTTAAAACTTCATTGCAAAATTCTATTGTATTTTTTCTTTTTTAACTCAATCAACTGCCTCTTTAAAATTAATAAACAACTTCATTATTAATAAATGTATGTCGATATATCAGACATTACATATTTCAAATTTCAAATTTATAATGGATATTGGAATATGGGCATCGGAAAATTTGCACTGGAAAATTGAATTTCTAAGTAAAAAGTTTAAATTTCCATAACGGAAAGCTTAATTTAAAGAACCTTGAAATTGCAAATTCAAATGGTAGAGCACTAGCGAGGCAATCAATCGTGATACCGTTCATTATAAAATGCATTATAATACTGTCAAAATTTCGCTTCATATATCATGTTTACGCTTATGGTTCGACCGTTCGACAATAACATCAGAGGCATGTCCTGTGAGATATAAAGGATGTTTTATTTTTTATATTTTATTGAGTTATTACCCTTAGTTCCTAAATAAATAGTCTGTCAGTTTTTCAAAACAGTTTTTTATGAACATGTTCTTTATAATTTTGGTTTTCGAATTGATTTTCAATATCAGAAGAATGAGCATCATTAAATGTTGCCATATTAGGTAAATGTGTTGCAAAAATCCTTATATCTGTATACAGATAGGAAAGAAAAAATCCAAAAATTTTATTTTAAAAAGTTGAAGGGATGATAGCACAGGCGAGAGGGTAAATTTTACAGCAATCCTAAATATAATGTATGGCATATTTCTTTGTAAACAACTATTTCCTTAATGAATATAGACCGAATAATTAGTAAAAAAACTGATTAAATACATATTTATATATTTTGAAATTATACTTTACAATTATTATTTTCAATATAAATCTATTTATTGTACATTGTTGAAATTGCTTCTTCTGTGTCTACCAACTTGAACTGTAGTGTAGCTGTAATTCACATCTTTTCCTCCCCCACCTCCTTTACCAGATCCTTCCTTACCTCCTTTAGAAGATGCTTCCTTACCTCCATAGCTATTATAACCTTGTGAAGTACCTCCAGAATAGTTATTTGTTCCAGTATCTATGTTTCTACCAAAGTAACCGGCAAGATTTGAACCTAAATTTTCAAATCCCATTATACCAATTAATCCCAAATTTCCTCCATAGTTTCCATAACCTCCTCCAAAATTAACAGGTTGAGGGACTGGAATCACTATGGTTTGGGGGATTCTTATTGGATATGGTTGGGGAACTGAAACTGGATACGGGTGGGGGACTGGTACCTAAAATATAAAACTCCAATAAAATTATGTTACATTATAGAAAAAATATGTTTTATGCATTATTTCTAACCAAGGTTTGGAAGTTACTGCAAAAAACACAATAATTGCTCAGTTGCTCACCTATAATTTTATTATACGAATTTTCAATAATTATAATAATAATAATATTTTAGATAGATAGATAGGCTTTATAGAATACTACAGGAATACTACTAATATTCTAATTTAAAATAATTAAGATTATAATCAATGACATAATTGTCCTTGAAGAAAAACTATGCAGTATTTTTAAAAGTTTAAACCTTTGATGAGTTGTAGTATGAACGTTTGGTTAACAAATTAAATATTCTCCATAGGTAATATGAAGAAATTTTATCCTCAATATAAGTTTCTTGGACCAATTAAATATTTCTCAACTAAGTGACTATCGAACTCTCGTAGGTTCAACTGTCGCTAAATTTGTTGGTGTAACTGATTGTAGCTAATATTACTTGATACAGCTGTTAAAGAAAGATAAGTTGTCATCTTAAACAATCAATGGAGGGATTAGGTTCAACTAACTAAAATCTGTTTAATTGTTTTACCTTTACTTTTACTGCTACTGTAAATAAAATCTTCTATATTTTCTGGAAGGATGTTTTATTTTTTTTTATTACATTGACATTAATAGTTATTAACATAAAAACAAAAACGCACATCTTGATTTTTTTATAAGTAGTATTATATGAGTTTGGTTACTGCAAATCTCAACTTCTTCTCCTAATAATATAAAAAGACCTCAAGATATTGTCAAAAACAACACATGGTAACTGTAAACAATAAGGACACAACAATTTTCACTATTTTCGCTATATTCTTTCTGCAAATGATACTATTTAATATTTTTAATCGATTTATCTGCAGAAAAACCAAAATACCCAAAGTTATTATAAAAATATTGTATATTAATCAAAAATAAGCCATTTTTTTTATATAACCTCAGTTTTCTTAAAAAGGCATCTCTATTATTTTCTATAGCCATGTTACCAATAGTTTAACTGCCTGTATTTGATAAAATATTGGTCAATCGGTAACAGTATCGATGGTAACGTACTGCAATTAAGTGTCAATTCCATAAAAAGTATTAATTTATTTCGTTTCGCTTCCTAAAAAACTCTTTTACTATGAATTTCCAGCTATATCTGGCGATTTATACATTTATTTTGATTGAATTATAGTACTACATATTAACTAAATAATAATATTACATCATCACTAAAGTAATTTTTGAAAATTTTTAAACTTAATTACTTTGTGTAATCCAAAATTTTTTAAACTTTTTGAAATATGAAATTTAGTTTATTATATATTGTTCACCAACGCCTTTAACAATTATTAAAGAGGATAGCTGAATTCGTTTAATTTCTGTTGAGTCAGCCGTGACGTAGCGTCATCCGCTAGATGCTTTCAACGGTTCAGCCAGAACTCATTTAAAATATACATCGATCAAATACACATTTTTTAATTCTATTTATTTTTAAACTAAAAGGTATTTCAGATATTTAAAACATTATTTTAACCAGAGAAAAAATTACAAACATCCCAAAATTTCAGGAGTAAGTAAAATAGGTAATAAATTTGAATACTGCCGCCATGTTATCTAAAAATATTTCTCAAATAACACATATTTGAGAAATTTGACATATTATAAAATAGAAGTCGAAATTTATATACAAAGTGTAAAAAAGTTAATGCAACTTACTAATATTAAATTTCTGTTTACAAAAAAGTTTTGAATAAAAGTTTTCTGAAATTATTCAAGTTATCAGTATAAGTGAATAGGTGATACACTGGGTTGCCCATTATTCCAAAATTAAGTAATAATATATATTTCCGTACTGTATTAAACTTAAAATAGAACCATTAAAACTGCATTGTGTTAACTTTATTAGCTCTAATACTTTTTAAAAAATATCCTTGCGTTATTTTGGAGTAATAGTACGTCTAATATATTTCTAAATGACTTACACCGATATAACTTGGTTTAATCCATAACAATTTTATCCAAAAACGCTTTTTGTAAATCCATTAGAATTAAAAATCTAAAAGTGTTATCTGACACAAAAAAACGTGACCGTCTTTCTACATCCCAACTACATTAGAAGAGAACGCGCTTGAGCAACATTTTCAAATTTACGCTCGTTCTTTTTACATTTACACCATAAGAGTACGCTACGCTCGTCCCGCCCACATCCTAACCGCTACAGAAAAGAGAGTGCGCTAGGCTGTCGTTTCGAAAATCGCACGCGCAAGTTTCGAAACGTGGATCGTGCGTTCCATTTTCCCACCTACATCATAAGAGCAAGTTACGCTTGTTCCACTTACATCCTAACCGCTACAGAAGGCAGCAGGTGAGGTCAGTAAGTTGTGATAAGACCGTTGGTGGGACAAGCGAAGTTTTTATGGTACGCACACCGCCGCCGTTTTGAAATTCGGGTGCGCAAATTTCGAAACGTCGACCGTGCGCGTTCGCTTCGCTTGCTCCTTCCTGTAGTGATAAGACCGTTGGTGGGACGAACGTAGTTGACTCTTATGGTGTGAGTGTAAAAAGGGCGTGCCCGGCTGATGTTTAGAAATTGGCGCGCGCGAATTTAGAAACGTTAATCGGGCACGCCCACTCCTTCATCTAATGGTGAGGTGTTGTTGGGACAAGCGTAACTGATTCTTATGATAAAGGTTCGAAAAGGGCGTCCTCGCTTCGCTTGCTTTTTCATCTGTTTGTAGGACGCGCACTGCTGGGCTCTTTTGGTGTAGGTGTAAAAAAGGCGCACTCGCTTCGCTCGCTCCTGCCTCTAGGGGTTAGGCCGTTGAGGAAACGAGCATAGCTGACTGTTACGTGTAAGTGAAATAAGGGTGCGTACAAGTTTCAAAACATCAGCCAAGCGTGCTTGCTTCTAAGGTAGTTGAGACGTGGTAGGACGAACGTGCTTTTATGGTGTATGTATGTCAGGAAACGTTTTTATTTTGTTTATGAAATAAATCAAGTCATCAATATAAGGCAGTTAGAAATATATTGGGTGCACCATTACTCCAAAATAACGAATGGATGGCTAATGACTAATAAAATTAGCACAATGTTGTTGTAACGGTTTTATTTTAAATTTAATGTAGTGCGAAAAACTATATTCTTTTGTAATTTATGAATATTGGTCAACCCAGTATATTTCTTATTGAGCACGAAGGTGTATTTCTTATTAACTTATAATTGCTTTATTTCATGAAACTTTTATCAAAACTTTTTTTGTAAACTTATCAGGACATATTGTACATATTAATAAGTTAAGTTACTTTTAGTTCACTCTGTATATAAATTTCGATTTTAACATTTCAAATTTCTCAAACATAAGTTGAATAGAAAGATGTTTAGGAAACATGGCCATAGTATTTAAATTTACTACCTTCTATTTGCATATTTATTTACTTCTATAATTTTCAGATGAGTTTTATTTTCTCTCTGGTACAATGATCTTTTAAATATCTGAAATATCTTTTAGTTTAAAAATAAATAAAATTTAAAAATAAGGTCTATTGATGTACGTTTTAAATGGGACGGCTGAAAGTTTTCAGGGGGTGACGTCACGCCGCACCGGACTCAGTAGAAATTGAATGAATTCGGCTATCCTCTTCAGTTAATATAGTCATTGATTTTGGTTGACAATTTATTTGTCAGACTAATTAATTCTCTTTGAAAGTTTAAAAACGTTTGGATAAGCCAAAATAATAATTATTTATTACTTTATAGATGAAGTAATAATAATATTTAGTGTACAATTTGATAAAAATGGATAAAAAAAATCGTTGGATGTAACTAGAAGTTAAAAGTTAGGTTTTATAGGAAAAGCAACAAAATAAAGAAAATTAGTTCTTTCTAAAGTTTTTGGAAATGTAACGCCAAAAATAAGATACTTTGTTGGGTTCCCGGTGGTATATTTAAAAAGTTATATTTTTCCTAATGCTTTTTCATGCGTAACATGAGCATTGTTTCAATATAATTTTATTTATAAAAGTACCTAATTGAATCAATCAAATTTATTAATTTGATTTTTCAATGGCTTTGTTTCTGCTAAGCACAAATATTCAATTTATTTTAGTCGTTCTTTAATTTTCTCATTTACAAAATGAAATCTTACATCAATATGTTTACTTCTCTTGTTAAATTGTCCATTTTTGATTATTTTTATATCACTTTGGTTAAAATAAAAGTTTTTCAATTAGCGATTTTAAGTATAACAATTCTTTAACACAATCAGCAGCTGTAATATATTCTGCTTCAGTGTTGGATAGTGCATCACAAAAATAAATTATAAAACCAGTCGTACTCTTTCGCGACTCAGAGTCCCCTACGAAATACGAATCACTAAACCCAATTAAGTCATAGGTTTCTTCAGTAGATCTATTATTAAGTAAACCATAATACCATAATACCCGTTTTCTATAACAGAAGGTTGTAGGTTTGCTATGAGAAACCTGGTTAATATAATTGTCATGTCGGATGATAATCCTAAAAAAACCAGTGATAGGATCGATTTGGGTCAATGGATACTTTTGGTCAGACTAACGAGTTTTTTTTATAACATTACCATTTTATAAAATTTAAAGAAAAGCCATTTTTCCATAAGGAATCCTGGTCCTTTCCAAATTGTTCCTTACTACAATAAACGTATTATATGGCTATTTCGTTTTCATTTATTTGTTCTTCAATTCTGTTTATGTTTCTAGTTATATTAGTAACCACAATTATTGGAAAAGTGCCATCCCGTGATTTATAGCATTGTCTGATGCACTTAGTTAACCAGATATTCTAGTTTTATCTCAAATTATTGTACTTAACAAAGTAAGTAATTAGTAATTCCGTTATCATTTCAAATGATTAAGTATAATGTTTATTCGGTATTGTACCAAGACGTAACTGCATTAATTTTATAAAGTTTTTGTTTTGAAACCCAAATGAGCGAATTGTTTGACCTAAATAAAATATACGAAAGAATAAAATCATATTTAGTACATCTTTCATCTTAATTTGCAATCTTTACTTTCCAAATTTAAGAAGGTGTATGTTTAATGAAGTGCTTGTCTTAGAGTTCAAATTAGATTTATACGTGGATAATAAAGGTGGTTTTTCCACATGGGTTAAAAGATTATTCTTTAGCTAATGGTACAGACATACATTTACATATGAAGTAATAACTAATAACTTACAAAACATTTTTCAGTTTTTTTTTATACTAAAAAAATCTCGAATATCTCATTATGTTGATGATTTTCCTAAGCTAGTAATTTTTATTCTTTTTGAAATTTAATTAAAAAAATTACACATAGATAGAAAATGGCATTCATTATGTACTCACTTGGACGGGAACTTGTACTGGAACCCTGTAAGGCTGTGGGACTGGAAAGGGCACTGTACGCGTAACTTGTATAGGTACTGGCTTCGGTACTTCTACAGGATATGGTTGAGGTACAGGCACTTGTACTGGTTTACTAAGAACTACTGGATAGGGCTGAGGTATTGGAACAGGTACTGGTTTATCAACTGGGTATGGTTGAGGTACTGGTATAGTCTGTTGGACAGTTTGTATCTGATTTCCACCTGAAAGTCATATATTATAAATTTAACTAAGCTGTAACTTTAGGTAATTTTTATCTACCTTGTATAATAATAAATTTACGGTCGTAAATTTACAAATTATTGGCAAATAAGTGATTTAATAAATAATAAAATTTAAAAAATAGGGTGTTAATTAAAAAGCACGTATCAGATATTTTTTGGAAATGAAATATAAAATATTCTAAAAAAAAAACAAAGTAGTCAACAAATAAAAATATGTAAAGTTTTTTATTTAATATGATCTAAGTGTGTGTGCTCATTGGAAATGCGTTTCTTTCATGGATCAAAAGTAAAATAAGTCTATAAGAGTAATTTTTTAACTATAAAATCTTCAGAAATGTTTGATTTGTGAATAAAACTCTTTTCTGTTATTATTAAAGACTCAAAACTTATTAAAATGTAATGAAAGATAAAGATAAAATAACAAGAAATTAATATTTACCAACTCCGTGACCAATTCCGTTACCAACTCCGTGACCAACTCCGTAACCAACTCCGTGGCCACCTCCTTGTGACAGATCATTGAATGCATGTTGAAAAGAGTTGGGTTGAAAGTGTCCACCTCCGTTATGACCCCCAAATTGAATTTCTGCTGATACCATCAAACTACAGATGGTACTGAGAAACGATAAAAGCTGAAATAAAAAGAAGAAAATATACAACAATGTATTAGCCTCTGATTAAAGAATAGTATAGCCTGTTTTATTAAAGGTAAAAGTAGTACTTTTGTGATAAGTGTCACTATTTTAAATTTATGGCTTTGCCATTGCTAATCAGCCAGACTGATTTAGATTTTTTGATGCAAATAATTTTAAATCCACAGGTTAAATATTAAATATTGTTAAAGCAAAACATTACAAAAATGCACAATACAACTATTTTCACTATCACTGCCCACAATATCTATTGTCAAATAAAAACTGTAACACCTATTAAATCCAGGTAACTCTACTAGGTTTTTATTAAATAAAGCTTATTGTATTACAAGTAACAAAATGTGAATATTGTTATAGTACGAACATAGTTTTCCTTTTGATTATCTTGAGATTTCGGTGTTTCTTCAAGAAATCTTTTGGTGCCTGGTGTGTCTTCTTCAGTACTATTTTCAATTTTATTTATTGATGATAATTTATTTACTCTAATAAATATACTTTTTTTCCAGTGTTTTCATAACAATTTAGGCATATGTACCTTATTATATATTAACACAACCAATATCATTCCTATTTTTATATTTATTTTTTTTTTATTTATTTACATGAATAATGAAAATAGTGAAAAAATCTAATAAATATATTTATTAAGATGTTTACTAAATGTTTAATAAATTAAATTAAAAATAGTACTTAAAAATGAATCATGCACCAAAGATTTAAAAATCAAATAGAACTGTTTTTTTTTATCAAAAAAATACCTGAATTCCAAGATAATCACAACCAAATTAGTAAACAATGTGTAAGAATCATATAAAAATATTTTTTAATCCCCTTAAAAAATATGCATTACTGCTATATAAATTTCAATCTGTCATTTAGTTTTATATCAAAAACAAAGCTTTAAAAAAATTATATTTCCAGTACAAAATTTAAAATATGCTATTTTAGAAAAATATCGCTATAAAATTTTATAAACAAACAAAAAATTAAGTTGAAATAAAAAGATTTTACGAAATATACTAACTTTTATAAAATATATTTTTGAATAAAAAAAAAAGGTTTTTAAAAACAAAAAAAATTGAGAATTACAATTAATTCCATAATTTTATTAAAAATTCGTATATTACTTACCAAGGATCTGTTCATTCTTTAAAAATTTTGTCGAATAGAATGGTGGAAAATTCAATCGTTTTCAAATTATATTTAAAAGCATTTTTCCCACTTACTGATATTACATAGTATGGTGCTTTCTTTGGAAGAATAACCATATGCATATACATATAGTTTTTCTATTTCTCATATAACAGTAATTACATTGGCGTCCTTAGATAACTTATGGTAATTTATTTGAAAATAAAATGTATATTTTTCTTTTGATTCAGAAATATGTCTTGTAGATATCGTAATATTTGGAATAAATAAATAGAAGTAATAAAAATTCTTACTAAAAAGCTATGTGCCTTATAAAAACAATTTTATAATCATAACTGTTTTAGTTATCTTCTAATATTATACAGTATGTCCCCCTAAGTTGGAATCATATGGAAAACTTTTTTATTATTAATTTTAGGAAAAAAGTTATTATTCGTAAATAGTTCTGTATGACCCAAAACTTAAAATACAGCCATCAGCCGTATACGAGGTTTGTCAAAAAACATAAATTTTGCTCAAGAGTAAAGTACTTTTATTTTAGACAAAATCAAAAATTTTCATTAAGAAAATTGCTAAATTCTTCACAAACATCAAGAAAAGGAAAGCTTATATTTATAGTAGAGAAGAGAGAGAAATAATTATGGATTACCGTAATTAAGTAGATCAATGCAAAGTCTAGAAAAAATCTCATTTTTCAGATAGATCGGTGTAATTGCATATTTAAATGTAATTTTTAATTCTAATCAACTTTTCTTAATGAAAATTTTCGATTATGTCAGAAATAAACGTACTTTACTCTTGAATAAAACTCATATTTTTTGACAAACCTCGTATACCACTGAAGAAATTTGATATTTGATGACGGTGTTCTAGGTTTTAGATAATGCAGAACTTTTTATGAAGAATAACTTTTTTTCTTAAAATTAATAATAAAGTTTTCCATATGATTCCAATTTAGGGGGACATACTGTATATAAACAAAGATGATAATTTATTATAACGTTTACTAACTTTAAACATACAAAATACAATAATATATGTAACAAAGAATGACATGTTAACTTGTTTCTATCAAAAGCACTTCATCTTGTTCGATTCTTATGACATCTGACAATTGACATTGCTTTTCCTTCTTAGATTAACAAATAACTAGATTCGAACTTATATAAAGCAGAGCATTACTTACAAACTAATTGGGCTTATAACAACAATAACTGATTCAATTAATTCAAACAATATTGTATCTAAAATAAATACTCTTCTTCTCATTTATTCTTAGCCCAATTTTTTTGCTGTATCTAATAAAGTTACTGTTTTTTAAGTTTATTTACGTTTCTCGCTGACAGTATGGTTTCTTCTGTCTGTTGAAACAACTGTTTTAATTTTTCCTTTACCACTAATCTTGGTGCCTGCTGTTGATTGCTCAAAAAGGTATACTCCAGTCTTCCCATCGGAAGCCCTCTCTTTAAACCGTTTTATTAATAATTATTATAAGTAATTAACTCTTTTTTTTCCCTAGGTATTATTTAATTATCTTTATTTTACGAAACATGTCAATCAATGAAATACCAATTAAAGAATATAATGCCAATCATAGGGATGTATTAATTTTAAAATTATTTAACTGTGTAATTAAAAGAAGTTTGGTTTATTCTTATAGTTTACTACCTAGGTTACAAGATAGTTATACTATTTTAAGTTCAAAGTTAAATGTATTCAACACCAAACTCTAAACTCTTCTTACGAGTATCGATCATTGGGCATTTTACCCAATGGGCCATGTTCACATGTGAGATATGCTGTTTTATAAATTATATTGTAATATTTAGTCGCTATACAAGTTATTCTAAATAGTCAGTTCGTTAAAAAAGCCAAAAGTTTTTAAATTAAGCCCAATTGAAATTTAAAATTTGAAATTATACGTCATTGGGAATAGACCAATCATCTTGTGTCGAAGTTTTTTTTGTTATACAAAACTAAGCCAACGAACAAACCGACACACAGAATGTCGAAGTGAACGCACATCTAAGTGACATTAACATTGACACCACCTAACACCTAACCTTAGTTTTTTGTTTTGGTTTAATTTTATTATTAATATGGATCAGCTGGATTTATAAAAGTTGAATCAAGTGTTTTACCCATTGTAAACGAAAATATAATTACCGAGATAATTACTGCATTTTTTAACAATACTCAGTTTACAAAAGTCAGAAAGGTAAGACTTTGTTTTAATAGTAGGTATTTACAGTTTATATGGAGCCAATACACCTTATAGTAAAACATATTTTTCTCAGGTTTTATTTTTAGATCTGCCAAGCAAGAATATGGGGATAATTTATTTTTCCATAAGAGAGAAGGAGACAAACTACACCTAAACATAAAGTACGGCAAAAACCTTCTGATGTGCTTGTTGTAATTAACAAAAATGAAATTTTTAGTGCACAATGCTTACGATATGCTGCATGTTAAGGTTTGTAATATTTATTATGCTTTTTTGTTTTTATATCACATATAATAAACAGTGTATAAGGCCTTTTATTTCTATAAATATTTTTTTTTCTAATTTTGACATATAGACATTTTTTGTAATCGCAGCAAGTGTTAAAATAATCTAGAAATAGATTTTGTTAGTGAACCTAGTAATAATTATGATACCAAAGAATGCTGCAGAGCACCTATGAAATTTTGAGTTAAAAAATATGCCTTATTTTTAGGCTATTTTTATACCCTTTTCAAAAATTTTATGCTCCTCGTTTTTTGCAAAACTTAAAATGCTCTGATAGCCTTCGAACGAAGTCAGCAAAGCACCTCTGTTTTATAAAGTTTTTTCTGTAAAAACAGCAACACCATATATTTATGCACTTGAAATATTATATTTTTAAAAAATACATGGTGCTTCTTGCTAACCTTCGAAAGAAGCCAGCAGTGCAATTCGGTTTTTTAAAGCTTTTTTTCTAAAAACCACACCCCATTTTTAGACTCTTGAAATATTGTAAAACTTTACTAAAAAAATTGCTATTTTTAAATAATACTTTGTTAGAACAAAGTCAGCAGGACACTTCAGTTTTTTAATTTGTTTTTTTATATATAAAAACAACTACTTATGACACATGTTTAGGCTGTTTTAAAATCCTAAAAATGTGGTAAGTATATTTGTTTTCAGAAAAAAAACTTTGAAGTCAGCAAGGAATTGCGAATTTTTTTAAAAATGCCAAATTTCGAATATTTTATAATATTGTAGGAGCCAAAAAACGTGCTGTGGTTTAAAAAAAAAACTGGGGTGCTCTGCTGGATTCGTTTGAAGCTAACAAAGCATCCCGTAATTTTTTATTTTATAATACTCAATAGCCTAAAAAATTGTACTTTTAAAAATAGCAGTTTTTTTCGAAAAGCTCTATATTTCAAAAATGTGGTGAGATTGTTTTTTTTTAACTTTTGAAAATCCGAGGTTCTTTACTAGATTCGTTCAGAGCTAGTTAAGCTCTGCTCGTCTTGTTACATAAAATAAGGCATTTTGTAGCTGGTTATATAGTTATTTTGTAACTGCATATCTCTTTTATTTTTTTCAGGTGGTTATAAACATGTGGCTTCATAGAAGAAGTGAGGAACCATCTGTAACATCTACTCAGTGTTATTGGAAAGGCTCTAATTTATCAAAATGCGTAAATATTGATGTACACTTGGCTAGATTGTTAAAGAAACCTCTTCATCCACTACAGGAAAATAAATCATTACTTTTATATTCTTAGGATTCGTATATATATTTTTTATTTGTAAATAAATTGTTTTTTACTCCATTTTTCTCATTTTTTATTAAAAGGTTGATAAATAAAATTTTCACAGATTTTTATATTTTTGTTTGTAAACAATAATTGAAAAGTTTTTATTAAAAATCGCCAATGTTAATAATAATAACTTAAGTCAATATTATTCTTTCTCCTTTTTTAAAGCTACTATCAATAAAGGTATTACTTTAGCTTGACCTATGATCAATTTTTAATTTTGTGATATATTTGGTTTGACAGAAAAAAAATTATAACCTTTTGACATTGGTTTTTACTTAGATTTTCATAAAAAATAAACGGAACTGCAAACATGTTTTACTATCGTAATAACGAATAGCAACATAACATTTTTTTTTCACATTTATTACTGTTGTCATTTTCATAAAGGATTGATAAGAAGGCACACTTTCTGGTTTTTTGAAAAAGGTAGCAAGAATTGTGATATTTTTAAATTTATCACCAGTGATACCACATGTAGTTACCCGATTTATTGGAATATATAGACTTTGCTACCACATTCAACTGAACTTGGTTGTTTTTAATATTTATCACCGTGACATAGGCGTTTTTGTTTAAATGTTTTATTTTAAACTGCTGTAAATGGGTGCCTTTGTTTTGGTAGTTTTGGTCCCAAAAAAATCTATGCATATACAGGTACTCATTCCTCTTTGATTTGCTCGAAAAGTTAAATTTTTATCAAAAATTACATTGGCTGTTTAAAAACTCATTATAATCCCTGAAATGTGATAATTAGGTAAATTAAATTAAAAAACAAACAAAAAAGTTTATTAAATTAATATTTACTTTTACAAAATAGGTTCTTGTAAGTTAACAAGCAATTATGCAGATATTACTAAGTAAATGTACTTGCTTAAAATTCACACACGAATGTGGTTTTAACATGTTAAATTAACTAACCCTTCTTATAACTCTTTCCACATGCATGTATTCTTAGAGATGCTATTCTTTTACTTAATTGTACATCTTCTGGAGAACTTTTTTCATTCTGTGATACACTAGGTGTGGCTTTACTAAAGTGCATCCCATGTTTTCAAGTAGCTGAATATTCTGAAACCCCTATCTGCCATTATATGGGATCCAGGAACCAGTTTGTTTAAATACCCACATTTTTCTATTATTTCTTTATCACTAGTTCTTCCACAAAATGATGAATAAATTCGGTATCTTCAAAACTTTCAGGAGATTCTGCATTTTCTTCCAGAAGGGTTTTTAGGTTATACACCTAAGAATTTATAGTAGCCTCATTTTCAATTTCCTGAAGGGAACAATTCGCAGAAATTGCTACTACATCTTGATAATCCGGTGTATTTTTATTAAAAAGTTCACGAGAAACATCGCCAGTAGAAGGTTGATTTTCTTCTTTCCAAATTTCTAGGAACACTAATAAATATTTTTGAAGATGAATGTGAATCATTATCACATTCTGGAACAAAACACTTTTTCGTAGTCATAATATTTATAAAAAGTACAAAATTAAACACTCAAATTCCAAATAAATTCTTGATCGAGACACTATGACAGATGCCATACACAGTGCTGCCATTTTGCCATTTTCTGAATTATTAAGTGACTTTTAAAACAATGAAACTTTAAATATGGTAAAAGTTTAAACAGAAATAATACTTTCAAAAAACATTTGATATTATGTATTTAAAAGATATTTGTTTAACAATGTTTTAGAAGTCTAAAATTAAGAAGGAGTACACAAACGAACGTACATCACTTCTCGTAAACCTTCTAGCCGGCAACGTTGTGCGCTAGCTCCTATTGGTCTATTCCCGGTGACGTCATAAATTTTAAAAAAATTCATAACTCCGGCAAATAAATAGATAAAAAAAAAAAATAAAAAAAATGTAGTTTTATTTTCAACTCTATTATTCATAAAAAAAAATTCAAAATTTTTGAACATGCCCCATTTAAATAAATCACATTGCAACTCTGTAAGGAGAAGAGCAATATTCTAAGTATGTTGATTTAAATCTTCATATTTTGAGCTAAAAATTATTCATTTAATATATTATGTATATTATATTATATGTAATTTTATATTTCTGTTATTTACTTAATAAAATTTAAAATTCAGTTTTTGAATATTACTACATTTCAATAAAAATCGTATATAAATATTACGATTATTACATCACAATTTTACTATGTTTTAATCCTCGGTTTCTACTTCCGGTTTCTCTTGAAAAAACCGTCAGTTACGTACCTCTAGTTTTATCAGATTTATTTGCCGGTGGAATTAACTTTTTCTGTCT